AAAAAAATTAGTAATTCAAATGACATATGAGATTATATAATAACATGATATTAAAAGATTTTTTTAAAATCATTTTCATCATGTATTTCACCTGTTAAAGACTAGCTGAAGTCAGCTTAAAAAATTCAAAAATAAAAAGCAGAAACGTGTTCAACACTTGAACGAAATCTTACACGTTTGAGTTTGTTTTATTTGTTAGTATTTAGTAGACCTTCCTGTATCATAATTCTAGTTATATATATACCACCTGTTAAAGACTAATTGAAGTCAGATTAAAAAATTCAGAAAAAATTCAAAATAAAAAGCATAAAAATGCTCAACACTCGAAGGAAATCTGACCTGTTTGAGTTTGTCGTATCTGTTAGTATTTAGTGGACCTTCCTTTTATCATATATTCTTTTGGATCATGATTGGTGCACACATAGATTCAACACTCGGTGTGCACACTTCACATAAAAAAAAAAAATGAATCGAGTATTCTTCATTTTTTTTTTTTATGCGAAGTGTGCATAACTGGGTGTTGAATTTGGGTGTGTAAACATCATTTTCCATTCAAGTTATATAAAGACTAATTGAAGTCAGATTAAAAAATTCTTAAATATGGAATTAGACCCTAAACAATTGTTGTCAATTATTTTCTATTTTTAAAATAATAATAAAAAAGGTATCTGGGTTTTGAGAAAGTTGAAGAACAGTATATAAAAGCACTTGGAACATAAGACAAATTAGATTTTATAATGAGCGGTGTTTCTTGCTGCTAAAGCATAGCATTGCAAGATGGAACACAGTTTGCAACATTTTGTGACAGAATGTTAAAAGAATACAATGGAAAGAGTAAATAATAAAGTTTATGATAAGTGAAACTTCCAGAGTAATCGAATATTGCCAAGAACATGGGTGCATCAAGTCTGCAAAAGAAGCAAGAATTTTGACTAAGGTATACCAAGAACTATTGTATTGAGTCCATAAAGCATTCATGGGTGGGACGTGTCAAGATAAAAAAAATGAAGAATTCCTGGTTTTTATGTTTACTATTTCCTGATTTTAAAGTGGGTGCTTGCAATTGTGTTTCTCAAAAAGATCATAACATGCAAAATTAAACTGTTCAAGTAATAAAACCTGCAAATGATCATATCTGTCTGTCATAGAGAACAAAAACATTGGAACATTGAATGAAAGAATAATAGA